CAAGGGAAGCGGCCTCAGGTTGTGCCAGGGGAGGTTTAGATGGGATATCAGTGAATTCCTCCCCAGAGAGGTCTGTCAGGATTGGAAGGGGCTGCCCAGGGAGGGGGGAGTCACCATCCGGGGGCGGTTTGAGAGACCTCCAGATCTTTTACGTGATGGATGAGGCACTTAGGGACACGGTTTAGTGGTGGCATCAGCAGTGTTGGGGTAGCAGTCGGACTCGATGACGTGGAAGGTCTTTCCCAATGCTGCCCTGCCCATCCTGCGCAAGCAGCCGAGTGGGCGGCTCCGTGCCGCTGCGATTCGCGGGCTGGTGAACCCAGCGTGAACGTGGGACTGGAACCTGCAGCGCTCGGTGCCGCGGCAGGGTCCTCATCAGCGCTGGAGCCTGCTCGAAGAACCCCCTCTGCTAGTGCAGAGACATTGGTCTTGGGCTGCCACCTCCAATCCCGCCCTCAAAGACACCCCCAGCCCTGTGCGTCGCTGGTCGCTCAGGGGGCTGTAACTGGGAATTCCCCTCTCCTTGGTACGACAGCTGAAGGTCTGGAGTAGCTCTGCCTGGGGCGAAGCTCTGCCTATTTGTCTCTTTGCAACCGATTGCCATTTCCCCACGGGATTTTTAACTCGGCCTGTCCGCTGCTGTGCTCGGCGCTGCATGCCTGTGACATAAGCCAGCTGGCAATCGTGGGGTTCTGCTTGGCTGCATAGAGCCCATGGGCTGCAGATTTTCTCCTTCGGGCTCAGCTGCACACTGTTGGAGCACTCAGCCTGGAAAGACCCATCCGTCACCTCGGAGCACGCTGATTTGTCCCTTTCCGGGCGTTCTGCAGTCGTGCCAACACTGCACACGCCAGAGGTGCTGGAAGGTGATGGGTGTCTGACAGGCAGCACTTGAATTTTGTTCTTAAGCAGTCAGGTGTGCAGGTGACCGTGCGAATGAACGTCAGCAGCTTTCCCAAAGAAAGCAGCGGGAGAGCCATGAGGTGGCTTTTGGCGGCACCACGGAGCTGGGCCACCCCAGCCCTCAAGGTGGTCGCGGTTGCGAAGCTCAGGTGGGCGCAGACGCTGCGAAGGTGCCTCTTGGCTGTAGTTATGCTCCACGTGTCTCCCAGCCAGCGGGAATGGGTTTTGGGATTTGTCTCTTTGCAAGCAGATCCCCACGGGGAGGCCTCGCTCCAGCCTCAGCCAGAGGCCTCTCTGCTGACTCCCCTCCCTCTCCTCTTCCCCACAGTTCTTCACGGAGTATGGCCCTGATTACGTGCTGGAGATCACACCGAGCTGCCGGCCAGACCGCAACGAGCCACAGAGAATTCAGGAGATTCTGAGCTCTATCCGAGGTGAGTTGTGGGAGCCAACGCTCCTGCTGCAGGCTTGCGAGTCGTTAGAGGGGACTTCGGGGGCGCTCGGGGGAGTCTTTCTTGCTGCCTAGAAAGATGAACCACAGTCACTTGACTGCTCACTGTGCACAACCTCATCTGTCTCCTGCTCCGCCTGGGATTGGCAGCCTCTGTTAGCGCATCAGCTCAGAGCTGCCGGTCCCTGTTAGTAAAGCTGCTGTTGCCTTCCCTCTGGCTGGGCAGAGGAGCACAGGGCCTCACCCGAATCAGAATCATAAAACCACCCAGCTTGTGAAGGACTTCAGACATCATCTGGTCCAGCCTTTGGTGGGAAAGGGAGCCTAGATGAGACCCTGTCCCATTGCATCCTGGAAAACTCTGGCAGCGGGGACTCTACCATGTCCCTGGGGAGGTTACTCCACTGATCCATTGTTCTCACTGTAAAAAATGTTTCTTCGAACGAGGTGAAACCTCTCCTGGTGCAACCCGTACCCATTGTCCCTTGTCCTCCCCTTGTGAAGAGAGAGCCCCCGTCTTCTCTGTAGCTGCTCTGCAAGTACCGGAATACTGTCACAAGGCCACCTCGAGCCCTCTCCTTCAGGGAGGAGAGGCTCAACTCCATCAGCCTTTCCTCACCGGGCAGGTTCTCCAGCTCTTCGATCATCTTGGTGGCCCTCCTTTGGCCCCTCCCCAGTCTGCCTGTGCCTGTCTTTGGTCTGTGGGGTCCAGAACCGCACAAAGTACTCACGGAGCAGCTGACAAGCACTGGTTGGGATGCTCCTGTCTGTCTCTGCCAGTAATGCCCTGCTGGTGCTGCCCAGGAGGCAGTTTGCTGGTGCTGCTTGCGGCACGTGCTGCTGGCCTGTGTCCGGCTCGCTGTCCACCAGGACCCCGGGTCTCCCCAGCCACACACATCCCAGCCTGAACTGGGCACTCTGGCTATCCTGTGCCAGGCGCAGGGCCTTGACCTTGTCTTTCGTAAACGCCGCCCTGGCCTTGTTAGCCCACTCTCCCAGCTTGTCCGGCTCTCTAGGATGGCTCTCCCTTCTGATCCGTCTGCCTCAGAACCCGGTTCGGTGTCAGCCGACGTGGTGAGGTGGCTTTCGGTCATCCACTTTCTGAAGGTGTTGAACAGTGTGTGGCCCAGTCTCGATCCCTGGGGGACCGCGCTTGGGACAGGCTGCCAACCTCCGTAAAAACCATGGATTGCCACCCTCTGCGCAGCCCGTGAGCCGATTCCCTCCCTATGCACTTTGCAGACCTCCCGTTCAACTGTATCTTCCCAGCTTGTTCAGGAGGAGGGAGGGGGAAGCAGCGTCCAACGCTCTGCTGAAATC